TGGGCTAAATACCACTCATTGGTAAATGGCTAAGGTAAGACTTCATGAGAATAAGCAAAAACAACTAATGGCAGGAGTTGTGGCTGAACAATTCTCAGACCTCACACAAGGCTGCGTGATATTGCAGTTCTGAATAGCCAAAGTGAAGAGAGCACTTGGGGCATTCAATAGAGGCCCAAGAAGGGTTATGCTTTAGTAGTAAGGATAGACTAACCTGAAGGATAGGCTATGCTAGACCTTCCCTATGAAGTTTAAGAACAAGTCTCAAAAGGACTGACACGTTTTGCAAATAATTAAACTGTGTACTGAAACTAAACTCAAAACTAACAGAAGAAAACAAAATCCAAACACTCAGCAACATAACATTCACAATGTCCAGCATCCAATCAAAAGTTACCAGATGCGTAGTAGCATCTGTAACTCAAACCAGGAAGAAAAACAATCAATGGATACTCCAAAATTATAGAGATAATGAAGTTAGCAGATAAGGATTTTGAAACAGGTATTAAAGGGCTAGGGTTTTAGCTCAGTGGTAGAGCAGCTTGCCTACCATGTGTAGACACTGAGTTCAATTCTCAGCATTGCACATAAATAAATGAAAAAAAATAAAGGTCCATCAACATCTAAAAAAGAAAAATAAACCCAGGTATTAATATGTTCTAGGATCTATAGGAAAACACCAATATGATGAAGAGAAAGTAAAAAATCTTCTAGAGCTGAAAAATATAATATCTGAAATAAAATAATCTGTAGATATGATTTGACATTGCAGAAGATTAATAAACTTGAAGATAGAAGAGAAGAGGGCTGGGGATGTGGCTCAAGCGGTAGCGCACTCGCCTGGCATGCATGCGGCCCAGGTTGGATCCTCAGCACCACATACAAACAAAGATGTTGTGTCCGCCAAGAACTAAAAAATAAATATTAAAAAATTTAATTTAAAAAAAAAGATAGAAGAAATGATCCAGGCTAAAGCAGAGAGAAAAATGACTGGGAAAAAATTAACAGAAGTTCAGTGACTAGAGGACAATATCAAGTATCAAGTAGTTTTATAAAGATATAAATGGAATCATAGAAAGAGGGTTGGAGAATATTTGAAGAAATAAGACAGAAAGCATTCTGATTTAATGAAAGCTATAATCCCATAATTTGAGAAATTTAATGACTTCCAAGCAAGTCAAACATCAAACTCTAAAAGTCACATCATGGGATGGGGCTGGGGCTCAGTGGCAGAGCACTTGCCTTGCATTCGTGAGGCACTGGGTTTGATCCTCAACACCACATGAAAATAAACAAATAAAAATAAAGGTATTCTGTCCATCTACAACTACAAAAAAATAAAATCTAAAAGTCTAAAAGTCATAATTAAGTTACTGAAAACCCATAACAAAAAGAGAATCTTAAAAGCTGCCAACAAAAAAAGACACATTACATGTTGGGGAGCAAAGACAAAAATCAATACTGACATCCTATTAGAAACAATGCAAGAAGAAATTAAACATCATTTTCAAGGTGCTAAAAGAAAAAAAAAATCTACTACATCCTGGGAACAAATTTTTACTCCTCACACTTCAGATAGAGCCCTAATATCCAGAGTATACAAAGAACTCAAAAAAATTAAACAATAAGAAAACAAATAACCCAATCAACAAATGGGCAAGGACCTGAACAGACACTTCTCAGAGGAGGACATACAATCAACAAGTACATGAAAAAATGCTCACCAGAGAAATGCAAATCAAAACCACCCTAAGATACCTTCTCACTCCAGTAAGATTGGCAGCCATTATGAAGTCAAACAACAACAAGTGCTGGCGAGGATGTGGGGAAAAGGGTACACTTGTACATTGCTGGTGGGACTGCAAATTGGTGCGGCCAATTTGGAAAGCAGTATGGAGATTCCTGGGAAAGCTAGGAATGGAACCACCATTTGACCCAGCTATTCCCCTTCTTGGACTATTCCCTGAAGACCTTAAAAGAGCGTACTATAGGGATACTGCTACATCGATGTTCATAGCAACACAATTCACAATAGCTAGACTGTGGAACCAACCTAGATGCCCTTCAATAGATGAATGGATAAAAAAAATGTGGCATTTATACACAATGGAGTATTACTCAGCACTAAAAAATGACAAAATCATGGCATTTGCAGGGAAATGGATGGCATTAGAGCAGATTATGCTAAGTGAAGCTAGCTAATCCCTAAAAAACAAATGCCAAATGTCTTCTTTGATATAAGGAGAGCAACTAAGAACAGAGCAGGGAGGAAGAGCATGAGAAAAAGATTAACATGAAACAGGGACGAGAGGTGGGAGGGAAAGGGAGAGAGAAGGGAAATTGCATGGAAATGGAAGGAGACCCTCATTGTTATACAAAATTACATATAAGAGGAAGTGAGGGGAAAGGGAAAAAAAAACAAGGGAGAGAAATGAATTACAGTAGATGGGGTAGAGAGAGAAGATGGGAGGGGAGGGGAGGGGGGATAGTAGAGGATAGGAAAGGCAGCAGAATACAACAGTCACTAGTATGGCACTATATAAAAACGTGGATGTGTAACCGATGTGATTCTGCAATTTGTATATGGGGTAAAAATGGGAGTTCATAACCCACTTGAATCAAATGTATGAAATATGATATGTCAAGAGCTTTGTAATGTTTTGAACAACCAATAATAAAAAAAAATCTACTCAACAAAGTATTTTTCTAAAATAAAGGCAAAAAAAAAAGAAAGAAAGAAAACAGGGAGAGGGAAAAAAAGGTCAGAAAACAAAAGCTAAGAGAATTTGCTGTCAGAGACTGCACTAAAGAAGTTATTCAAAGAAGTTCTTGGGCCGGGGATAAAACTCAGTAGTGGTAGAGTACTTGCCTAGCATTCTTGAGGCCCTGGGTTCAATCCCCAATCCTGCAAAATTTTCCCTAAAACTAAGGGAAAATGAAACAAGTAGAAATCAATTCTTTAAAAGAATGAACAGAACTTGAATTTATAATTATATGGATAATTATAAAAAAACTCATTAAAATTTTGAATTGTTTAAAATGTATCATGGGATTTACAATACATAGACATCAAATGTATAAGAATAGCACAAAGGATGGGAGGTGGAAATGAAAGTATATTTTAGTAAGATTTTTATATTATAAGTGGAATGTTATCATTTGAAGGTAGATTTGATACATTAAAAATATATATGTAGGAAAAAAATATATATATATATATGTGGGGCTGGGAACATATAGCTCAGGGGTGGAACACTTGCCTAGCATGAGCAAGGCCCTGGATTCAATTCCTAGTACCTAATAATAATAATAATAATAATAACAACAACAACAACAATAATAATATAAACACTAAAGTATTCATTAAAGAAAAAAAGTGAAGGGGTGGGGTTGTGGCTAAGTTGCAGAGCACTTGCCTAGCATGTGTGAAGCACTGGGTTTGATCCTCAGCACCACATAAAAAAAAATAAATAAACAAAATAAAGTAAAAAAAAAAAAGTGAAAAGATGTAAATAACTAAACAATAAAAGAGGTAAAAATGAAATACTAAAATAATCAACATAAAGACAAAAAGAGGACAAAAAGAATCCAAAGACAAATTATATAAACAAAAATGGAAGTCTAAAACCTAACTATACTATACCTGTAATTACATTATAAAAGCATAAACTCTAAAAACCATATAAAAGTCAGAGATGATTAGTGGACTTTGGTGGTATGTGTTTGCAGGCCCAGCTACTCCGCAGGCTGAGGCGGAAAGATCACTTGAGCCCATGTGTTCAAGACCCATGTGGGAAATACAATGAGACCCTATCTTTAAAAAAACAATAATTAAAATCCAAATAAAAGTCAGAGATTGCCCATCTCTATTTAAAAAGAGGCCACAACTATATGTTGTCTGCAGTTTATAAAAACACAGACTAAAAATAGGAGGGGAAGTTTGTGCTTAGCATGCGTGAGACGCATGCATGCATAAATGAATGATGAGTGAATGAAGAGGTAAAGGAAAAGATAAACCATGCAAACATTCATCAAAAGAAAGCTTAGCTGCATTAATGGCTATATTAATATTGGGCGGAGTAGACTTTGGCATAAATATAGAAACATTTTATGACCAGAAATATATCAATTCACCAAGAAGATATAATAATCTCAATGTGTACATATCTACCAACAGAGTTTCAAAATATGTAAGGAAACATCTGACAGAAATGAAAAGAAAAACAGACAAATCCACAAATACTGATGGAGATTTCAATGTCCCTTTCTTGCTAACTGACAGAATGGTTGGACAAATCAGCCAGACTGGGGAAGACATTAAAAACTTAACTTTACCTAATCAACATTGGAACTCTACACCCAACAATGGCAGAATACAAAATATGTTCTCTGATCAAAATGAAATTAAGTGAGAAATAAATAACAAAAATGTAACTGAAAGATCCCTACATATTTGTAAATTTGATAACACATTTCTCTTTTCCTTTTTTTTTTTTTTTTGGTGCTGGGATTGAATTCAGAGTCTCACACACTTTATCCCTGAACTATACCCTCAACCCAATAACATACTTCCCATTGGTCAAAAGAAGAAATTACCAGGAAAATTATGAAATATTTCAAGATGAATACTAAATAAACACAATATATCAAAATATGTGGAATGAAGTTAAAGCAGTACTTGAAAAAACATAATTTTAAAGGCTCATATTATAGAAAAAGAAAGATCAATCATCTCTGCTTCTACTTTAAGAATCTAGAAAAAGAAGGGAAAAATCCAAATAAATCAGAGGAAGGAAAAAAAATAAGAACAGAAATCAAGGAAACAAAAAATGAAAATCAATAGAAAACAAATTAATGATACCAAAAGTTGATCTTTGAAAAGAAAAAAGATATAAATAATCAAACTCATGAATGGAATAGAGCACATCATTACAGATCTTATGGACATTTAAAAAATAAAATAAAACCAGATTCTAAACATTTGAAATCATCCAACCTACCTCTTCAAAGGAATATTTTTCTACAGTATGAAGAGCATCTTGTGTCTCATTCCACCCTCCAATAGAATAGATGCAGTCATTGAGGGCAGCTACCCCAAGATAGGCTCTCCTGGTTCCCATTGGAGGAAGTGGAGACCAACGCTTAGAAAGTGGATCATAAACTTCAAAAGAACGAAGCTCTATTCCTTCATTGCTGATTCCCCCAATTACATAAATTAAACCTGGAAATGAAATGTTTTTGCTCAGATGCTATAGAAAATAAGATAAAATGATGAAAAGTCATAGTTGTGATCTATTTGCTATGCCAATACTATATTTCATTCCAGAGTTTACAATATTATTTAAAAGAAAAAAATCAAGGGGCTGTGTCTGTGGCTGAGGTAGCGCACCTGCCTGGCATGTATGAGACCCTGGGTTCGATTGTCAGCACCACATATAAATAGATGTCTATCAACAACTAAAAAAAGTTAAAAAAGAAAAAATCAACTTCAGTCTAGATTATCACTTCTCACATTTAAGCATGTTACAAAAAATTAGGGATATAATTTAAAGTGACATTGAATCTTGAAGAACCCAATGATATTATAACAAAATAATTTGTCAGACAAGGATTTTCTATCTCATTGTCTGCTTGGTGATCTCAGGTTCCAGATCCAGTGCTACTACCCATAAATAAAAAAGGAAAGGGACATGGAACATCCCCCTGCAAATGGCATGCTGGGAATGACATTGTCTTCTTCAGCAAAAACCTACCTGTTGCTCAGATGGACATAAAATAGAGACTTTAATTTGGAATAGTTACATATCTAGGTAGCAGGATTAATTACTAAAGTACAATAGAATAAATTTATAGAGCTGCTCATTAAATTGACTTAAAACTAATGGTTCTGACAATCCAAAATTATTTTTGAGTTATTAATCTTATTTCTCATGATCTAAACTGAGAAGCTATAAATTATAAAAGAGTGAAATCTTAAGAAACACAGAGTGAACGTTAGTAAACTTTTAGCTCCAGTTTTGCCAGTAATGACTGATGAGAAAAGACAACTCACAACTCTGCTCATCTTCATCTTCCTTATCTATAAATTAAAAGAGTTTATGTAGACATAATTTCTAAGATCCCTCTCTAGCTCTATAATTTTAGATGGGAAGATAAAAAATATTAAATAAAAAATAATTAGAGAATACTATGATGTTAAACAATAAAATATAGTCCGATCATATAATTTGAACATTTAAATGCTGGTGGAAATCAGAAAAGGTACAATATCCACAAAGCATAAAGAACTTGAATTGGAAACTATAGGCTGAGCTATTATACAACAATAGGAAAATTGCTTCCTGCTCCACAGATACATATAATTTGCTCTCTAACCCTAAACAGAATTGGGTTCTATTTGTCAGTGCTTGCTACCTACTTCTTAGAGTAGACAAAATAATGTCCATGCACCAAAGAAGTCTGTAGGTAGAACATGAGAACTGTTCTTTGTTTGTTTTTGTTTTTTTTGTTGTTGTTGTTCATTTATTTTTTGGTACCAGGGATTTAATTCAGGGGCACTTTACCACTAATCCATATCCCCAACCTTTTTTTTTTTTTTTAATTTTGAAACAGGTCTCCATAAGTTACTAAGGCTGACCTCCAACTTGCAACCCTCCTGCTTTAGCCTCTGGCTAAAGGCGTCCACCACTGTGTGGGCTACAGTGAAAACTGCTTTTGATGCTATCTCCCTAACTTTAAAAAACTAACTCAGGTGTTCATGGGAGAAAATGACAATAATGGATTACATTTGAAATGCATAATCAGGTATGTCTGCCTACCTGGAATTTTTTTTAATATTTATTTTTTAGGTGTAGATGGACACAACACAATGCCTTTATTTTCACGTGGTGCTGAGGATCGAACCCGGGTCCCCCCGTGCTAGGCGAGTGCTCTACTGCTGAGCCACAATCCCAGTCCCTACCTGGATATTTTTATCTAGCTTTGTTTATTACAGAAAAAAATCAATTGTTTTGGCAATACAGAAATAAAGATTAATAATATGAGGTAAAAGATTTATACTTCTAGTGTCAATCATTTAATACTAACAGACCCAAAATATATCATTGTGAAGATAAAGCCCCGAACTCACATAATTTAAATACATGTGTATGTATATACACAGATACACACACACACACAAACACACATACTTCCACATATATCTTGTGGAAAAATGGTTTATAAAGTTATTACCTTGGGGCTGGGGTTGTGGCTCAGTGTTAGAGCACTCGCCTAGCACATGCAGGGGCACTGGGTTTGATCCTCACCACCACATAAAAATAAAATAAAGGTATTGTGTCCAACTACAACTAAAAAACAAACAAACAAAGAAAGTTATTACCTTGCATTTCACAGCACCCAAAGTAGTATCGTGATACAGCCATGTTGCCAACTACTTCCCATTTATTTTCATCAGGATCAAATCGTTCAATGGTGTTACCTATCTCAGCTCCAACCCATCCACCTGCAATCAAATAGAAAAATGTTTACTTTTGGGATAAAGGAAACTTATCTATGACAAAGACTTTAGAAAACATCTAACTACTTCATGTTATGGATGAGTATTACATGAACCAGAGAGGTAATTTGTCCAAGATGACATGAAGTTAGAAAATGATCAAAAGCAAAACTTGGGTCTTTCACTAGGCAGAAAACAAAGCAAAAAGTTCAACATATTGCAAAGGAAACAAGGTATTTTTCAAAGTGACCTTTTGAAATGATTTCTACAAATTCAGAATGGTTATACTAATCAAGATCAGTTCTAAACCTAATCAGAGTATACTACCTATTTAGTGTGATTTTAGGAACTTCAAAGAGGCCCTCACCCCAATAGCATTTTCTTATCATTCTCCAACTCTTGAAATTGAAAATGTTTTTTTTTCCTGTTATTTGAAGTATAATTGCAAAATGAAAGTACTTATGGGAGTGATAAAATATAATGCACTAAATTCACATTCAGATAACTGATATCTTTTCCAGAATAGGTTTCAATGGTGAGGTATGGGAAGAACATGAGTTCCACACAGTGAGTTAAAGAAAAAATGACAAAAAAAAAAAAAAAAGCGGGGGGAGACTACCATTCAGAGTGCTAGAAATGTTATATACTTAATCAAAATCATGAGATTTAGCCAGTCAGCTAGAGTGTTTCTTTGGATAGCTCATCTATATTTTAGCACTATCTCCTTTTAAAACTTCATACTTAAAGAGAATAAAAAAGAAAAGTCAAAAGAAGTGATAATAGAGAAGCCCTGTAAAAACATAACAAAACAAAACCCCATACTTGACAATATTCTTCAAGTAATACAAATTTGAGAATAGGAATTAATAGTTTTGAAAAGATACACATTTTTTATTGGAGAGAAGGAACATCTATAAAGTAATCAGAACCTAAGAATTCAAATAATATTAGTTATTCTTAAACTGAACAGCATAATTACCTAAAGCATAGATAGCCCCGTAACACACACACACTCCCAAGCCACAGCGGGGGTGATTCATTGAAGCTACAGTTGTCCACTGTTTAGTAACTGGATCATAGCATTCAGTACAGTCAAAAATCATTGAATCCTTTTCACCTGGTTTAAATAAGAGACACACAACAAAAGATTTAGTAATGCTAAACCACAGAACCATAATACAATATTCAATAACATTCTGTTTTAGACAATTCAACTGTTATGTGATTTTAAAATATCATTAAATTCATTTGCTCAGCAAGCATTATTTTGAATCTACAGAACTGTCATTTAAGCCTATTTATGAAATAAAGGCAATTTTCCTATTATTTATTTCTAATTCTACCACTCAAACAATCCATGTAATTTGAGGGGTAGGTATAGAAATTGAACTCAGAGGTACTTTCTCTGAGCGATATCCCGGGTCCTTTCAATTTTTTATTTTGAGACAAAGTCTCACTAAGTTGCAGATCCTGGCCTGGAAATTGTGATCCTCCTTCTTCAGCCTCCTAAGTGGCTGGGATTACAGATATGCACCACCAGACCCAGCTAATCCATGCAATTTCAGAGGACACAATTAGTATTTTAACATTACTATATTTTTTCAAGTATTAGTTTGGGTAGCTGGTCTTGGTACAATTTGTGGCTTAATGTAACCATAACCCTATGTAGCAACAAACAGAAAAAGAAAATTTTAAAAAACATACTACTTAAAATAGTATTTTAAAACACATTCTAAAAATTTGTCTAGGGGGATGGGGTTGTAGCTCAGTGGCAGAGTGCTCACCTAGCATGTGTGAGGCACTGGGTTCGATCCTCAGAACCACATAAAAAAAATAAATAAAATAAAGGTATTGTGTCCCTACACAACTAAAAATATTAAAAGAAAAAAAAAGGTAAATCGGGGAGATGGAGGTGTTGCTCAGAGTTATAGCATGTGCTAAGTGAACATAAGCCCTGGATTTAATCCCCACCACCACAAAAATAAATTAATAAATGAAAATTTAAAAATTTTAAATTAAGGCACACCTAAATAAATAAAGAAATGTATTATGTTCATGAATTATATGTCAATGTAAACATGATAATTATGCTTACTGAACATAACTGCTAGTTGAGAACCTAATATATGCCAGATAAAGAAAAGCTCAAAAAATTGTTCTTGGTTAAGAACATCACAACCACCTGAGCTGACAAGAATCAATTAGCAAATACTATAAGGCTAAATAATGAAGTTCTACATAATCACACTGTCAAGTGCTCTGGGAGTCCTGGGAAGATAACCATATTCTGATCCTCTGAATTCACTCAGGATGGAGACAAAGAATATTTATTGCTGATGAACTTTTTTTTTCTTTTGGTACCAGAGATTGAACCCAGGGGTGCTTAACCACTAAGCAACATCCTCAGCCCTTTTTTTTTTTTATTAATTTATTTTTATTTAGAGACAGGGTCTCACTGATTTGCTTAGGGTCTCACTAAGTTACTGAAGCTTGCTTTGAATTCACAATCCTCCTGCCTCAGTGTCCTGAGTCACTGGCATTATAAGCATGAACCACTGCATCCAGCTAATGGACTTCTTACCTATGTTTAAAAAAACACAAAAGCAAGCCAGGAGCAGTGGTGCACACCTGTAATCCCAGCAGCTGTCAGAGAGTTCAAAACCTGCCTCAACAAATTAGGGAGGCCTTACGCAACTCAGTGAGACCCTGTCTCTAAATAAAATTCAAAAAAATTACATGGATTGTTTGAGTGGTAGAATTAGAAATAGATAATAGGAATGTGGCTCAGTGGGTAAGCACCCCTGAATTTAATCCCCAGAACCAAAAAAAAAAGAAAAAAAGAAAAACAAAATCATGATCAGAGGTCCAGTTTCTAAATAAACACATTGTTTTTTTCAAACTGGTAGAATAATAGTACAAATTTTACAAACAGAGGTCATGCACTATTTCTCAAACATGAGTTCTATAATAAGAGCAAATTTATCATTCTGTTTAAAAGAATGAATATTTGAGTAAGTTTTACATCTTCTTTCTTTTACAACTGAGAAAACTAAAACAATTAAACTAGAACTCAGGTAACTTTTCCAAGAAAAAGGCAAGAGGGACAGTACAGTTAAACATGAGGGGAAGATGGGCTGGGGATGTGGCTCAAGCGGTAGCACACTTGCCTGGCATGCATGGGGCGCTGGGTTCGATCCTCAACACCACATAAAAATAAATAAATAAATAAATATATTATGTCAAAGAAAACAGACCCCCCCAAAAAAAAAACAACCACATGAAAGGAAGAATGGTAGGAGTGAGATTTAAGAGATTGAGAGCTAGACAGAAACCAGATATTATGTAGGGCCCTTGAAGGATATTATAGATTGGTTTTGATCTTAAGAGTAAACAGGAAAGGGCACAGTAGCCCATGCCTGGTAATCCCAGCAACTTGGGAGGTGGAGAAAGCAAGTTCAAGGCTAGTCTGGGCAACATAAGAAAAACTGTCTCAAAATAAAATAAAAGAATGTGATGGACATTATTATCCTAGGTACATGTATGACTACACATATGGTGCAATGCTACATCATGTACAGAGAAATGAAGAGTTGTACTGCAATTGTGTACAATGAATCAAAATGCATTCTGTTGTCATATATACCTAATTAAAATAAATAAATAAACTTATAAAAAAAAATAAAAAGGGATAGGGATGTACTCAGTTGTAGAATGCTCCTGGGTTCAATTCCAGTACTGGGGGGGCCTGGGGTGGGGAAGTGAACAGGAAGCCATTTCAGAGTATGGCAATGACATGATCAGACCTGAATGTTAGAAGAACATCATAGGCCATAATGTATAGAATAGATTTAGAGAAACAAAAATAGAATCAGGAAAACTAAGGTATTATACTATACTAATGAAGAAGGTATACCGTTCTATATTTTGGAGAATTGAATAGGGGTTATAAAAGAAAGAATGGTATCAAGTATGACTGAAGTTTTGTCCTAAGTCACTAAGTAAATCATGGTTACAATTTATAGATGGCAAACCCTGGGAAAGAAACAGACTTAAGACCTGAGGAAATCAGAGTTTAGTTTAGACAAGTTAAGTCTGAAGTGCACATTAGACATATAAGTAAAGTTCAAATAGATGGCTTATTACATTTTATAAACAACCTTTTTTTTATTAAAACCAAACCTAAGTATTCTGTTTTGTTAAAAAATCACAGGATCTGTCTGATATGAATCATTCAACAACTTCTGTTTTCTTTCTTTGATCAATTCAATAAAAAAATATTTGGGGGCTGGTGAATATAGCTCAGTAGGTAGAGTGCTTGCCTCACATGCACAAGGGTTCGATCCTGAGCACCACACAAAAAAAAATTTTTATAGAGTGTAACTATATCTATGTATATCACATAGCACCTAGCATTTATATATAAGACATATAAGAATGCAGTGAACTAGGGGCTGAGGAGAGAGGATAGTACCAAAAAAATGTAGCCAACTAGATTAATAAGTGAAATAAGGCATTTTTATTATTACCTCCAATAGCATAGACCATCCCTCCCAGAACTGCGACTCCCAGTCCACATCGAGCTTGATGAAGTGAAGACACAGTGGTCCAGTACTGGCTAAAAGTGTCAAAACGTTCTACACAGCTGAGAGCTCTGCTATCACTCCAGCGCCCCCCCTGCAACCGCGTATATCCACCTAAACAAAAGAAAAAAAGGAAGTAAACAGAAAATCCTTTACTACTCAATATGAGAATAACAGTAATGAGGAAAATTTAGCCATCTACCTCTAAACATTTATTATAACTATTGTATACCAAGAAATAAATGCATTATTTATGTTGCCATATATAAAAAATAACATACAAATATATTATTCTTAAATGTGCCAAGCCCTGAAAGACTATGGCTTAAATGCAAGGAGAAGGTCTGATGATACAGTCTGATGATAACAGAATGTTAGATAAAATGTAAATCTAGGGGCTGAGTTGTGGCTCAGTGGTAGAGCACTCACCTAGCACATGAGAGGCCCTGGGTTTGATCCTCAGCGCCATATAAAAATAAATAAATAAAATAAAGGTATTGTGTCCGACTACAACTAAAAAATAAATATTAAATACATATATATAGGGCTGGGGATGTGGCTCAAGTGGTAGCGCGCTCGCCTGGCATGCGTGCAGCCCGGGTTCGATCCTCAGCACCACATACAAACAAAGATGTTGTGTCCGCCGAAAACTAAATAAATGAATAAATATTAAAAAAAAAAAAATACATATATATATAAAAAATCTAGGCACTGATTATCTATTTAGTTAGAAAGTTTCACTATGACTTCTATTAGTGTCTTTTTCAATTAAAAATAGTAGATTGAAATCCTTGTTTTGATTGCACATCCCATCAGTAAAAATTTATAGTATGCATTCCAATGGTGAAAATTTACATATTACATATAAAATATATGCAATTATAAATTATATCATATATAAAGCACTTACATAAACACTATTTCATATATATTGATCTGGAAAACATTTCACCTTACATATCAAAAATTTATCAGGTTTAATGCTTTTAAATTAAAAATGAAAAGAAATTTTAGTATGCTCCTTGGGTATTCTGATAAATCATGCTGCACCTGACACTTTGGAGACCATTGATTTCTATTGTACCAATGACTAAAATAGTTCAAAAATTTGAGATTTATTCTCTACATTTTTTACTTGAATTCAAAATTTCAAATTTTAAAGCAATGTTTCTTTAGTCAGTCATTTGATAACTGGCTAATAATCTAAGAGCCCAAACATTCAGATCACAGAATAACAGATGACAAATTAAGTAGCTATGTATTTTAAAAAATGTTTACTATGCTACACAAATATAATTTATAAATCTGTAACCTGAATGTGAAATTAAATATTACATTTTTAATTACATATTGTGACATGTATATTAAAAACAAAAATATTAAAAAGTTTTGCTTCTGAAAATAAAGATAATTTCTATTACTTTTTTAAAGGTCCTCACCTACTGCATACAGGTACTTTCTTGCTTTCTTCCGAGGTCGGATCTTAGATGTCTGCAGAAAACTACAAAACTTGTTCTCTTTGGGAGATTTACACACCTCACAGTACTCTTTCAAAAGTGTTTGCAGTGCAACACGAAGATTAAAATCAGATACTCCTAGAGCAATATTTAAAAAGACAATATTTCAAATAACTCTTAAATGCTATCAAAAGGCACATTTCTAGAAATAAAACACATTTTGTACTCAAATCATCATCAAACGATGGCATTTGTTCCCTCAATATCAAATATTATTTTCTCATTGCTACTAAGGAATATACTTTCTTTAAATCAAAAAATTGTTTTAAAAATATGCTCACAATATTAGTTTGAAAACTCACATATAAGGATTTCTAAATAAAAATGAAAAAGTGTAAGGGGACCAAAACTATCTTAAAAAATAGTAAAAAAAAATCTAATTTTCAACCTAATAACAAAAAAGATACAAAATTATGTTATAAATTTTAAAAAACGATAGGCAAAACAGGAGACAAAAATTCTGGTGGAATGAGGACCATTTCTCTAAAACGCTCTTGAGTATGACTGGGCAGGTTGTCCCTTCTTAAGGGTGCTTAGCTGAGGTAAACTGAGGATGCAAATCAACCTGTCTTCTTTTGCCAACTTTTAAGACCTAGCCCCAATAAAAGAGCACTGTTTTCTAATTTGCACAAAGCACTATATATGCTAATAAGGGACTGTCTCTTAGTTTGTTTCTATTTCCCTAGCTTTATCTCTACATCCCACAAGAATTTTGAGGAAAGGTCAAATAATAAACTCTGGAGAATTCCCACCAATAATTAAAAATTTGGAGAAAGGATGAACAATGAAAAAGCAAAACTCAGAAGAAAGTTGAGGAAACTAAACCATTAAAAGAAAAAGTCTTAGCTGGAGGTATAGCTTAGGAATGAAATGTTTGCCTAGCAGGCACCAGAACCTGGGCTGGATCTCCAGCATGGTGGGGTTCTTTACAGGACCATACTCTTGGAATACATTTCTAGGTAGGTTAAGTAGGCCTTGATTCAAGACCAATAATAAGACCGAAATAGTGTGAAGAGGCTGCCAATTCTGTCTCAAAGCATCTCTGAGCCTGCTGAATAGGCAACAAGAGCAAAGCTCTACCCTCTCAAGCTGAAAACATTTATGGAAGAGAAGTTATCATTGAAAATAAATGGTGGGGGCTGGGGATGTGGCTCAAGTGGTAGCGCGCTCGCCTGGCATGCGTGCGGCCAGGGTTCGATCCTCAGCACCACATACAAACAAAGATGTTGTGTCCACCGAAAAATAAATAAATAAATATTTAAAAAAAAGAAAAGAAATGGTGGCAGACATGTCCAAGGAATATTGTGGGGATTTGACCCTTTCATGAATCTTGTGATAGATGAGGATGGAGATGGCAACTAGTGGGGAACAGAACAACAATGGAATGTGATAATACTAGGAAATAGAATCATCATGTTAGAAGTCTTGGAATGAGTATTAAAAAAATGGCTGTTTAGCAGAGAAATCTATGACCCTTTTCCAAAAGGCCTATTTAAAACTAGGATATAAAAATCAGGGCATGTATATTTTCATATTAAGCTTTTTGTTAAATAAACTTTGGTGGGGGGTACCAAGGATTGAACTCAGGGGCACTCAACCACTGAGCCACATCTCCAGCCCTATTTTGTATTTTATTAGAGACAGGGTCTCACTGAGTTACTTAGCCCTTGCCATTGCTGAGGCTAGCTTTGAACTGGCAATCCTCTTGCCTCAGTCTCCCAAGCCGCTAGGATTACAGGCATGTGCCACCGCACTCGGTGGAAGAAAACCTGGTGGAGATCATCAAATTTATTTAAGTACAGAGATAATGGCATAGAACTAAGGGAATCATGATTGCAAATACCTATATAAATAAAGGCTATAAATCTTGACCGAGAGTAGGAGAGAAGAAAAATAAAAATGCTAAGTACCTCATTTTTCTTACCAGAGTTTGATAACTGTTTTAATATGGAACTATGGGGCTGGGATTGTACTATGGTAGAGTGCTTCCCTAGTATGCGTGAAGCACTGGGTTCGATCCCCAGCACCACATAAAAATAAAAATAAATAAAATAAAGGTATTGTGTCCATCTACAACTAAAAAAAATATTTAAAAAATATTTAAATATGGGCTGGGGTCATGGCTCAGTGGTAGAGTGCTTGCCTCACATGTGTGAGGCACTGGGTTCGATTCTCAGCATCACATATAAATAAATAAAATAAAGGTCCATCAACAACTAAAAAAATTTTTTAAAAATATGGAACTATGCTTTCATCTTTAAATAATTTTGCCCTTAATTTCATATGAACCTTTAAGATTATTTCTTGAGATGAAGAAATACTTATTGGAAATTAATTATTGCTTCTATTTCTTGTTTTGTTAATTTTTAGTGAAATTAAACTAAATTTTTATATTATAAATAGTATATATAAAAAAATTCTCTTTTTAAAAATTTTTTTGTAGTTGATGATGGACAGAATGCCTTTATTTTATTTGTTTATTTTTATGTGGTGCTAAGGATCAAACCTAGGATTGATGTGGTATTAAGGATCGAACCTAGCATGCCTCCTCACACATGCTAGGCAAGTGCTCTACCACTGAGCTACAGCCCCAGCCCAGGATTCTTATTCTTGTTAACTTTTAGTGAAATTTAACTAAATTTTTATATTATAAATGGTACATGTATCATGATTCTTATTCTTACTAAAATTTTTTTCTAAAGACCATCCAACGAACTACCTATCATCAATCCTCCTCTATATCACATATTTCCTATATATGAATTAAAACTGGCTATTTCTAAGAAACAGACTTTGGGTGACTTATTGTTTTACTTTGTAGTGCTAGGGATCAAACCCAGGACCTTGCTCTTGCATGCATTTTACCATTGAGCCTTTTTATACACATATATGTGTGTGTGTGTGTGTGTGTGCATATATATATATATATATAAAATATATAATATATATTGTGTATTTTTTTTAAAGAGAGAGAGAGAATATGAATCTTTTTTGTAGATGGACATAACACAATGCCTTTATTTTTATGTGGTGCTGAGAATCAAACCCGGGTCCCGCCCATCCTAGGTGAGCGCTCTACCGCTGAGCCACAATTCCAGCCCCTATATTATGTATTATTATAACATACATACACACACACACACACACACACACACACACACATTATTTTGAGATAGGTTATCTCTAAGTTGCCCTGTGGTCTCAAACTTGCAATCCTCCTGCATCAGCCTTCAGAGTTGCTAGGATTATAACTGTGAGCCACTGCACCCAGCTCCTGTTTGTTGCTTTTTATATATTTGTATTACCTACACTTTTTATAATAAGCATATGCCACAAATTAGGCAGAAAAGTCTACACATTCACATAATGTAATTTAATTACTTAGGTTAAGTATTTTGCTCCTTCTCTGAATTTTGTGGTGGAGTCATCTTGTTTTTCTCTAATAGATTGCCCATATTTTCTAAAATATAACCAAAGTTTCGAAGTTGAAAAATATTAATGTTGACTTTTTAAAAATCCTCAATTTCAGCCCAGCATGCAGGTGCATGCCTGTAATCCCAGCAACTCCAGAGGCTGAAGCAAGAGGATCACAAGTGAAAGACCAACCTGGGCACTTAGTGATACCCTGTGTCAAAACTTAAAAATTAACAGGGCTGCAGATGTAGCTGAGTAGTGAACCCAGGTAGTGTCCCTGGGTTCAATTTCCCACACAACACACACACACACACACACTCCACAATTTACTTCTCCCTGACACATTGAAGATTTTTCCTCCAGTAAAATACCTTCATATGATAACTACTAGGCCTGCTTAAAAAACAGTGGAAGAGCCCAGTACGATGATGTATGCTTATACTCCCACTGGCTCAGGAGACTGAGGCAGGAGGATTGCAAGTTCGAGGACAGCCTCAGCAACTTAATAAGACCCTAAGTAACTTAGCAAGACTCTGAATTGAAATGAAAAATAAAAAAGGCTGGGGATGTATCTCAATGGTAAAGCACTGCTGGGTTAAAACTCTAGTACTAAAAACAAAACAAAACAGTGGTAGACTTAATTTTAATCACAAAAAGCTGTAGGAAAACAAGCCCCAATATGGGTAACCCTGCCTTGCTCCTAGCAAAGGAATTTCCCCTTAGCACTCTCTATCCTGGGCACTTGAGAAAGCCAACCCAGACAAAAAAACCTTTATCCATTCCTAAATTTTCACATGACTCATACAAAAGTATGTATGGGTAATTCCTCTCCCTTGTTTTAGCATTTAAATACAGCCAGTCCTCATTAATTGAGGAGTCCCTATTTGTGAATAACCCCTACTCACTAAAAAGTATTTTAACCCCCAAATTAATATTTGGAGTACTTTTGTAGTTGTTCATCGACATGTGCAGAATGGCAAAAAATTTGAATCATCTCATATGTACTTTCTGGATGAGATTGAAGAAGGATTCACTCTGCCTTGTTATTACAGCTCTTAGAATGTAAATAACCACCTTTTTCAGTCTACTTTAGGCCATGTTTTTTGCAATTTTTTTCTTTTTGTTGATTTCGCTGTTTAAAATAGTCCCCAACTCTAGTACTCAAGTACTATGTAGTATTCCCATGTGCACCAAGGCTATTATGAGCCTCACAGGGAAAACATAGTTGGCTCTGCATATCTGTTGGTTCTATATCATGTATTCAACCAATGGCAGATAAAAATAATTGGGAAAAAATATTATCTGTACTAAACATGTACAGACTTTCTTCTTGTCATTATTCCCTACACAAAACAGTACAATAACTATTTATATAGCATTTGCATTATATAGAGAGATGATATAAAATACATGGAAGGATTGTGTTGGTCATATGAAAATACCATTTATATAAAGGGCTTAAGCATGTGTGGATTTGTGTATCCTTGGGGGTTCAGGAACCAATTTACCAAGGAATCTGAGGGTAGACTATTTGTATTAGGCAAGTTTCATTCAGGAATAAGTTATAGTGCTTGGCCATGAGTTCAATGTTAATAAATCAACAATATGTGTTAAGGTATTTTTAGATTAAAATACACATAAAATAAAGCTTCGTATTGATTGGAGAACAAAAATGTTGTGACCAGAGGCTTGTAGAAAGCTAACTCCATATATCATCTAGGAGAAATAGCTCGATATTTGCTAATTTAGTGTTTGTGGCAACTGTATAGGAAATAACTATTGCAAGTAACAATTAACACTATATGTACTAATAAAAATATCACTCAAAAAAAAACCTACGAAATTCTCTTAACACTGCCAAGAGTGGAGAAAAACTAGCAATTATTCAAAATAATTTCTTCACAGAATTACACCTTTGATGCTTACTAGTGTTATTTAATTTGTAGGAAGATCATCTGTAATTGTTACAACCTAATGTTTTAATGCATGAGGACAGTAAAAGTATCAAATCTTTAAAATATAAAGAACTTTTTTAAAAGAAATTTAAATTTTATAATATCTCTAATATACAGATTAAAACCCATTTTATGCTATGGTACAAATATTTTCAGAAAGAAGTTTAGCTTTGGGCCTGGGAATACAGCTCAATGGAAGAGCACTTGCCTAACATGTATAAGGTCCAAGGTTCAATCCCCAGCAAAGCGGGGATTTAAAGCTGATTCAAAGGCTACTCAGAGGCTATGATATTATATCAATATAAAATTCATTTTATAGTGAGAGGCATTTATTCAGTTTTGCTTTTGTTTTTAATATAAGCATTTTCCTTAAATATTAAGATTTGCTGAAAATTTCAGAATGGTAAAAGGAAATCTTATCTTGAAATAATTAGTACCATCAACAATAGCAGATCAGTATTAGTTTTGTCAGTAACTTTATAACACTAATCTGTTTTATTAATTTCAGAAAAAGATATATAAGAATTTCATTAAAATAGGGAGTAGAAATATCAAAATACTGTCTACTCACCAAAGTTGTACCTTACATAATTTCAATAGATGTGTTACTGAATCAAAAAATGAAAACACTATTAAATTTCAGAGAAAAAGCCATTTGATGATCAATTAATTTGATAGACAGTGAGAAAGTTACCTTCTATATACTTTAAAAGTCTCTGAGGAGGTAATAAAGGGAATCGAATTGGGTCCAGCACTTCTACCACATGTTTTCTTCTCTTTCCCAGATCTTTCAGAATCCATTGCATTGCAGCTAAGAAGACCTGATATTCGTCCTCAATGCTAAGCTCTTCACTTCGTAATATTTTGATCAGCTGATCTTTTGTAAGTGCTAGGAACTCTTCCCCATTATGAACCTCCAAGAAATGGACATGGATGTAGTTTTCTGTGAATTCCAAAAGATCATGGCAGGCAATTTGCTCAGAGAACTGAAAGATTCCAATGCAGTTCAATGGATCAACTTGTCCTTTGAGAAATTCACAGCAAAGATTAACAACTTCAGTTAATTGTAGCATGTCCGCTGCGACAATCAACTCCTGAACATTGTTCACAGCTATGTTCACTATACCTGGGGAAGTAGGGAGACAAAATAGCCAATAAGATAAAAACATTTGATTTACCATACTCAAAAAATATTTTACTTGACTACATTAAGAGCTTAATGTCAGGGGGGCTGGGGTTGTAGCTCAGTAGTAGAGCACTTGCCTAACGTGTGAGGCATTGGGTTTGATCTTCAGCACCTCATAAAAACAAATAAATAAAATAAAGGTTAAATTCTACAAAAAAGAGTTTATTGTTTGCAAAATAAAAGTTTAGTAAAAAGGCAACAAAGGATTTTTGGAATGAGCATAAAACTTAAAATAAAAATGATATTAACATTTTGGAATACTTATAATGAACCAGACACAGTATTAATTCCTTCATACACTTATTTAACCTTCACTATGACTCAAAATGGAAAGTATCATTTTTATTATTATTGTACTAAGGAAACAGAATCAGAAAGTTTAAGTAACTTTCCCCCATCTTAAATGGCTAAGCAAGTAACATCTAAATCCATGTTTTTGGTTTGTTGGTTTCCTTTGGATTTTACAGTACTGGGAGTCAAGTCCAGTGCCTACCATATACTAGCAAAGTGTTCTACATCCCCAGTCCTTTTTAAAAAGTTTAATTTTGAGGGCTGGAGTTGTGGCTCAGTGGTAGAGCACTTGCCTAGCATGTGTGAGGCCCTGGGTTAGATTCTCAGCACCGCATATAAATAAATGAATAAAATAAAGGTCCGTCAACATCTAAAAAATATTTTAAAAATAAAAAAAAAGTTTAATTTTGGGCTGGGGATGTGGCTAAAGCGGTAACACACTCGCCTGGCATGCGTGGGGCGCTGGGTTCGATCCTCAGCACCACATAAAAATGAAATGGGGATGTTGTGTCCATGAAAACTAAAAACATAAAATAAATATTTTAATAAAAATTTAATTTTGAGATAGGGTCTTGATAAATTGCAGTCTGGCCTCAAAAAATTTTTTAATGTTTTATTAATTGTAGATGGACACAACAACTTTATTTTTACTTATTTGTTTTTATGTGGTGCTGAAGATTGAACCCAATGCCTTACATGTACGAGGCAAGCGCTCCACCACTGAGCCACAACTCCAGCCCATGGCCTCAAATTTTTGATCCTTCTGCTTCAGCCTCCTGAGTAGCTGGGATTATAGGCCAGCACCACTGTGTTCGGCTAAAGTACATTCTTTTCACATAAACATACAGGTATGTAACAAACATCGCTAAGGAACTAGGGAAAGTAAGATAAAGGCTTTATCATCAATTGTTATTTTTTGGTGGTGGGGAGGTACCAGGGTTTGAACTCAGGGACACTCGACCATTGAGCCACATCCCCAGCCCTATTTTGTATTTTATTTAGAGACAGGGTCTCACTGAGTTGATTAGCACCTCACAGTTGCTGAGGCTGGCTCTGAACTCTCAATCCTCCTGCCTCAGCCTCCTGAGCTGCTGTGATTACAGGCATGTGCCACAGCGCCTGGCTCTTGATCTTCAATTATGATAAAGTGTTTTAAATTACATAATGACTTTGGGAGGACATCAAAGAGCTAATTATATTTAATAGGGGACAGAAATCACTGTAATTATCCTACATAATAAGAATAAACTCTTGGGGCTGGGGTTGTGGCTCAGTGGTAGAGTGCTTGCCTACCATGTGTGAGGCACTGCGTTCAATCCTCAGAAGCACATAAATAAATAAATAAATGTTATTTTAAAAAGTTAAAAAAAAAAGAATAAACTCTCCATTCCATCTCACACTTTCCTTTTACTTTATGCCTTTTATTATAATCACTTCATTAAACTTTTTGTCCAAAGTTTGTTTTCCTGATTAGATTTATAAAGTCTGTCAAGGCAAGTCTTGCCCCCTCTGTATTCCTAATGCTCAAAACATATTAGATACTCATAATTTTTTTTTTTTTAATGAGCTGGGCATGGTGGCACATGGCTGTAATTCCAGCAGCTTGGGAGGCTGAAGCAGGAGGATTGCGAATTCAAAGCCAGCCTCAGCAACTTAGCAAGATCCTGTCTCCACAAATAAAAATGGCTGGGAATGTAGCATTGTGGTAAAGCATCCCTGGGTTCAATCCCTTGGTACCAAAAAAAAAAAAAAAAAAAAATTTAATGAAAGAATGGACAAATAGGGGCTGGGGTTGTGGCTCAGTGATAGAGCACTTGCCTAGCATGCGTGAGGCACTGGGTTTGATTTTCAGCACCACATACAAATAAATAAAATAAAGGTCCATCAAAAACTAAAAAATGTTTTTTTTTATAAATGGCCAAATAGATTAAGGTGAAAGGAAGGATATGGCTCAATGAATGCAAACTGAAAATTTTCCAAAAGTATAAAAAATGAAATCCAGCAAGTCGGGGGAGTCGGTGGTAGGGGCTACAGAGAAAACTGAGGTTAGACTACTGGAATGAATGGGAATTCATTGCAAATTTGGATAAGATCTGATCATGGGTTTCGATGTAAGAGGACTGAATGACTACTATTAGATGGATAATACCAAGAGTTGCTTGAGAGTAAGAAAAGAATGCCCTTCAACTTAACAGAACTTTATAGTTTACTAAGGACTTTCATGTTTGCTAAAATTTATCTCATTCAACCTTTACATGAACTATAAAGTGCTATGTTCTCCACTTTACAAATAAAGAAAAAGAGATACTCACAGGCTTATTTGTATTTTGTAAGCACCTAACCTGCACAACTATAAAGCTCTGTTAAGGCAGAGACTTTGTCTCATTTACTGTCATATTCCAGCGCCTAACTCAAAAATGGATTCAATAGATATTTGTTAAAAGAATGAATGAATGATTGACTAATGTTAAATGAAATGTCTAGTATCACTCAGTTAATTAGTGCCATAGTTAGATCTCAAACCCAAGTCAGTAGACTCCAAGTGAAGTGCATAAAAATCTAAGATGAGAAATACACATTAAGACACCTTAGGGCTGGGATTGTGGCTCAGCAGTAGAGCATTTGCCTAGCATGGGTGGGACCCGGGTTCGATCCTCAGCACCACATAAAAATAAAGGCACTGTGTTGTGTCCATCTACACCTAAAAAATAAATATTAAAAAAAAGACACCTTAGAATTGTGAATGGTTAGTAAAGAAAGAGAGATCAAAGGAGAGATAAATTGAATAATAGATTTGCTGTCCCCACATGCCAAAATAAGAAATGGTATTACAATGAAAATAAAAGAACATTATTGTAAGAACTAATTGTGTCAAAGACTACAAATTTCCCTGTCTCAATACATTTTAATTTCATCCTTACTAAGAGAAACTTGATTTTGTTTTGGGTGGCAACTATGCCCTGCTGAAAACTGCAGATAGATATGAAATGTTAAATGAGTATGACCCTCAGCATACAGGCAGTAGTTGTTAGGAAGGACTACCAGAAAAATTTTAAAAAACATAGATTCATATGGCAGACCCTTTTGTCTTTCTCCCTTCCTCCCTCCTGGCTGGAGGTTAGTGAGTAAGAGAGTGGAAGCTATAACCTATAGATAATGGAGCAAAATATTAGAATATTTGGACACTAGGGGCTGGGGTTGTAGCTCAGTGGTAAAGTGCTTGCCTAGCAAGTGTGAAACACTGGGTTCAATCCTCAGTACCACATAAAAATAAATAAATGAAATAAAGGTACGGTGTCCATCTACAACTAAAAAAATTTTTTTTAAAAAATATTTGGACACTAATAATATTATAAAGCCACCACATCAGGCTTGGAATGCCTACTATGTATTTATTTTTGTGGAAAAATAAACTCCTATATTAGCAAGCTATGTTATGTCTATTTCCAGCAGCTAAATGCTGTTGGAAATAACTGGTAACTGATTTTACCTCAAATGTCAATCCTCCACAATATTATTTTACCCCAATGTGCTCGATAGCTTTTAGTTCTTGGCGGACCACCTTTAACTTCTTTGATGGAAGTGCTCATCACCAGCAATATGGTGATGAAGCCATGAATGAACATTTTTTCCACTAAATATCTTGTTGCTACAGTCAGACAACAGAAGCAGAATAGACAACTTCTGATATTTCTTCTGTTTTTATATTGTTCAATACTAATTCTATGGATTAATTTGGGCTGATTCATTTTTTTTTCCAAATAAATGAAGCAGGAAGAATTTAGGAAGGAGTTTAATTAGCCTATACAAGTCATTTGGAGTAATGAGTTCAAGAATCCCTCAATGTAAGAACTGCACTGTTTTTAGCAAATAAAAGACAATTAATTATAGTCCCCAAATTAAGATTATCATTGTTTTTCTAAAATTTTCCAAAAAAGGAATATGAAACAATACAGAGAAAAGAAATCACTTTTTGTCACTTTGTATATTTAAATGCCATGCATGAAAAAAACAATACTTTGTTTATCTTGTACAAAGTAGTCTCTTGAACAGCACAGTAAGCAGCATTGGTGGCACATGCCTGTAATCACAGTGACTTGGAGGCTGAATCAGGAGGATTGCAAATTTGAGTCCAGCCTCAACAACTTGGAAAGGCCTTAAGCAACTTAGCAAGAAGACCCTGTCTTAAAATTAAAAAAAACTAAAAGGTGCTGGGGGTGTAGCTCAGTGGTTAAGCACCCTGGGTTCAATCAAAAATGAAAAAAAAAGGAGAAGAGCATAGTATATTGTCAAAACTAACCCAAATAAACAGGTTTTGTTTTCAAACTTTTTTTTTCTGATTTTAAGAGTAATATATATTCACTGTGGAAAAAACTTTTAAACAGAAAAGCATAAAAATAAAAGGAAAATCACACATTCTCCATCACAGACACACTGTATTAACACTTCAGTGTATTTCTTTCAACTCTTGTATCTATGCATATGAATGTTGCATATCATTTAAGACTATATTTAGTTCTTTTTTTTTAATATTTATGTTTTAGTTGTAGGTGGTGGACACAATATCTTTATTTCATTTTTATGTGGTGCTGAGGATCGAACCCAGTGCCTCACAAGTGCTAGGCGAGCACTCTATCACTGAGCCACAAGTCCAGCCCCTATATTTAGTTCTTATATGCATTTTTTAATGTCATAGAAATGCTTCAAAATGTTTTAAAAATAAGTTTTAACTAAAATAATGCATGCTGATTATAAACAGTTTGAGGGGGGAAGGGTAAAATAAGAATATTTGTATATTCAACCACCTGTTGATAAACACTATCAACATTCTAATCTCTTTCTCATGCACACAACTTTTTTTTTGCAAAATTTAGGTTGAATTTATATTCTCATTTTTTTCATTTAGTATATTATAAACTTTCTCCCATGAAACCATATTTTTGTAGATTTTCATCAGGTTCTAAGAAATAGTCCATTACACACACACACACACACACACACGATTTATTTAATTGCACAACCCACTGAGAGACAATTACATTGCATCCAATTATATATTATTATAAATAATGTCACAATAAAATTGTGGTTCACACACACACAAAAATGTGGTTCACAAATATTTGCCTGCATCATTAGTTAATTCCTTAGGATTCCTAGAAAAGGAGTATTGGGTCAAAATATGAGAACTTTTGCTGGACATGGTGTGTAACTATGGTCCTCAATACTCCAGAAGATAAGGCAGAAGGACCACTTGAGCCTGAGAATTCAAGGCTAGCCTGGATAACAAAGTGAGATCTCACCTAAAAAAAAAAAAAAACTTTTTGAAGTTTACTAAGTTACCTTCCATATAAGTTAGATAGACTTCTGTTCCTATCACAGAGTATGAGTGATTGTATCATTCTTCACTCAAAGCAACAGGCTCATGTAACATACCTGTGTAAATGAAATCCAGAAGTAACTGAAAGATTCCAGCTTCAATTCCTAGAATCTGCACAACATCTTTTGAGGACTCTCTCATTCCTCCAGTGAACAAAGCTGCAAAGTATGGACTACTAGCAGCCAAAACTAGTCGATGAACATTAAAAGTTTCCTTCCCAACTTGCAACTGCACATCACAAAAATGCTGTCCATTTCTCATTTTATTGATCTGGGCCAAGATGAGTTGAGCATGTTTGTCTGATGAAAATGGATTATCACCAGCCTTGGAATGGCCTTCATTCGCCATAATGATCGCAGATTAATTAAAAGGACTATTGCCCATAGTCTGCTCTTACCCTGAAAAACAAAATACAAAGAGATCAAAAAACATGTTTTTGTATTTAAAATTCCTTAAGCTTATAATTTACTTAGGGATATCAAATACACATGAAACAAACAGGACTAAATCTTGTGGTACTACTTCTAATACAGTTTCAGAGAAGAGAATAAATAATGGGTGCTAAAACATTTGGAGCTATCTCACAGAAGAAATGGGACCTGAATTGGATACTAAAAGATAAACAGCATTAAAGTATGAGGAGAGTTCATATGCTCCTCTGGGTAAAGAAAATAAGGCACAATCGCAAAGTTTTTGCACACTGCAGTAAGGAAGCACACATCACAGCCAGAATGAACTTTCAAAAATAAATTATGATCATGGCTGGGGTTGTGGCTCAGTGGTAGAGCATTCGCCTAGCACATGTGAGGCACTGGGTTTGAACCTCAGCATCACATAAAAATAAATTAATAAGGGCTGGGTTTGTGGCTCAGTGGTAGAGCACTTGCCTAGCATGTGTGAGGCCCTGGGTTCAACCTTCAGTACCACATATAAATAAATAAAGGTACTGGGTCATTCTACAACTTAAAAAAAATAATAATAATAATAATAAAAAATGAGGGGCTGGGGTTGTAGCTCAGTAGCTGAGTACTTGCCTCGCATGTGTGAGGAACTGGGTTCGATTCTCAGCACCACATAAAATAAATAAATAAATAAATAAATAAAATAAAGGTATTGCATCCATCTACAACCAAGACAGAGAGAAAGAAAGAGCTTTAAAAAAATAAAATAAAACATTGTGATCAGTCCAAATGTCAACTTAAAATTCTTCAATTTGTTTGCTTCCCTTAACACACAAAAGTCTTTCTGGATCTTTGTGGTAATCTAGCCTATGTTCAAATATAACTTTCTACAGGAAGCATTCCCTGTCCCTCACCCCTCTGGGTTTGGTGATCACCTTAAGCTTACACCTATTTTATAGCCCTTGTCTCACCCTATCTTGTCAGATACCCTAACATTCTAATCCCAACACACACACACACACACACACAGTTTTTTGAAAGAGGGTCCCTTAAGGGTAGGGAAGGACTACCTTTCATAGCTCTAGTACCTATCTCAACATATATTAGCTTTTCAAATGTTTGTTAAACAATTGAGAAATACAATGAGAAATAATAACTTAGGTTGGTTTTTGTTTACTTTAGCTTCTTTACATACTAATTGTAATTCTCACAATAATTAAGAAGTGGGGGGAAAAAAGACAATCTTATCTAAGATGAGAGAGAAGGAAATTTCATTAAGCTCAAAGTTTCCCCAAAGATACAGTTTTAGTATAATGACAGTTTCATCTGAATCCAGGTGGTCTGACTCTAAGTCCATGGCTTTTTCCACCATATCACATTACAAAGAATTTATTAGCCTACGTTATAGAGAAAGGGCCTTGAAACCCAAGCACAGAAATTTGGACCTGAATTTTCATAGGTTTAACAAAAATAAACATGAACAACAGCCATATTTCAGAACTCTATGGTTTTTCAGAGGCAGGATCTAAGAGATAACAAACTTCTATTAAACAGTGTTAGAGGGGCTGGGGCTCAATGGTAGAACACTTGCCTAGCAAGTGTGAGGCACTGAGTTTGATCCTCAGCATCACATAAAAATAAATAAAATAAAGATATTGTATCCATCTACAATTAAAAAATATTTTTAAAAAAACGGTGTCAGGAATGAGAATCTAAGGGATAAATCCAAATTACTTTTTAGAATAAAGAAATCATAATATCCTCTAATATAAGAGATATGGAAAGAAAGCAGAAAGGAAACCTAAAATGACTAAGGTTTTATAATTTAGGTAGCAAGGAGAATTCAAAGTAAGATTGAAAGAAATGATTGGGCTGACATTAGGTAAAATAGTTCCATTTATAGTATCCAGTCAAGCTTATCAAAGTTAAAATAACTAAGCCAATTATTATGACTATCTAGGAATTAACTTATTGAAAAATTTGGATGGTTCTAAGGTAGCTGCTAAAACTTCACATCAGCATGTACATTTTCTTTAATTGTAGATGGATACAATACTTTTTATTTATTAATTTTTATTTGATGATGAGGATTGAACCCAGTGACTCACCCTTGCTAGGCAAGCACTCCACTACTGAGCCACAACCCCAGCCCCAGCATGTACATTTAATTTAACAACTAGCAGATGTTGTTAGACATGACAACGTTTTCAATCTTTTCTCTGGTTTCAGATTTCTCCCTGTCAGCAGATTTTGAACCCCAGTGGTTCAGCTACAGGGTAACCCCTTCATCCCCTACTTAAAGCATCAAGCACAGCCACTCAATTAAAATGTTGCCTCCTGCTACCAGAAAGAGTGCTGAATAACCCACTCTGGTGGCATACAGCAGAAATCCTACTACTTTCTTAGTATCTGCTGACACTATCCCGCTGCCAGTGGAGTCCCTCATTCCAAAAGGTGGCAGGCGGGGTGATCCTTTTTCCAAAGGAAAAGAGCAGGATCCTGGGACATTGCAGAGGGATGTAAGACCATGCCTCAAGCGACCCAAACTTGAAAGACAGATTATTGAGAAGTAAAGACCTGTGTTTACTGGCCTTGGATGCACGCAGAGAGTATCTGGAAGCTGCTTCAGCAAACGGTGTCAGAAAGAATTCTGGACTGTCGGAGAACAGGGTAGATGGTGGGAGAGAAAAGGAAGGAGGGAGAGAAAGAAAAACCAGAAAAACAAAACTGAGGTTCTAAGTGCTTGGCTTAGGGGGCCGGACCTATAGAACTACCCATAACCTCCTGCAACACTAAAGGTGGACACTCAATCCGCAGCTTCCGAAAGGGCAGGCAAGGGATCTCAAACGACTGAGGGGGTAGCAGGGCAGCCAGGGACATGGCCCCTTTTTCTCCAGTGCAGCGGGGAGAGCAGAGGCCTCAGCTTTCCAAATAAGAGGACGCTCCAGTGAGGGAGAAAACACTGCCAGAGGTACGCCTGAGGCGACAGGACAGGAGAAAAGAAACCAGTTCCAGAGCTCCTCTCCGTCCAGTCCTCCCGGGTCCTCAGAGCCGGACACAGCCGGACACAGCAGAAGAGGAAGTTCCCAGACCCATCACAGTCGCACCGCGGGCGCAGGCCCTTCTTACCCGCCGCTTCCCCTTCCCGCCGGCGCCGGCTCAGGCTCTGCGCGCGCAGTCGTGACCCGCACAGGCGCGGAGACGGCGGGGGAAAACCCGGCGGGGTGACGGGGTGGTGCGGTCCCCAGAGGGCTGGAAGCCAGGCCCGCCGCCTGGCTTTTCTCTGCGCATGCGCCGGGTTCTTCCGCTCGCGCTGTACGCCCCGCTGTGGCCCTGGGACTGGGCTCGCCTCCCCGGGGGCGCCCGGCCGGGTGGCAAGCCGGTGCTCCTGCTGGCTGGGGTTGGCCCGCTAGCCCTTTCCATTCCGACCACGCTCTGTATTCCTGTGGCGTCCCAGTCAGAACGCGGACCTCAGTGTTGCCAGATAGAAATTGTGCCTCTCGACCCGTCTCAGATTATTTTCTGAGCTCTGCTTGTCTGAGTGCAGCACTGAAGGAATTACTTGAGGAAATGGAGAACTCCGAACGCCTAGTTTTTTTTCACTGTTGAACCTCATAATCTGTCATATTAGTGACTTTTAAACTTTTTTTTAAATCCCAGTCCATGGTGCACAAAACCGATTTCTATCAAATCCAATATAAACAAAACTTTCACAAACTATATATTTACTACCCATTATGCACTAAATTTCTTTTATTTCACTACCAAAACTGCAGGAAATGTTGAAGACCTGGAAAAGAGTAAAAGAGATTACCGAGTGCCCATTCAGTGTAAGACTGGGCATTGTCTAGCAGAGACTGGAAAGATTTGAATCCCTAAGTACCTCTGATTTTCTAGTGACTAAACTGATATATAGGAAGACTGATAGTATTTAAATTAACTCTTGTCAGCTTGGTATAAAATATATTCCAAAACATTACATTTTTTTGATGTGTGTGTGTGTGTGTGTTTATTTGTTTGTTTTGGGGATACCGGGGATTGAAATCAGGGGCACCCAACCACTGAGCTACATCCCCAGCCCTTTTATTTAGAGACAGGGTCTCACTGAGTTTCTTAATGCCTTGCTTTTGCTGAGGCTGGCTTTGAACTCGGGATCCTCCTGCCTCAGCATCCCAAGCCACTGGGATTACGGCGTGCGCCAGCGTGCCCAGCCTTCATATTTTTTGATATGAGCATGTCAGGAGTTTTAGAAAACACTTAATACAGAGCAAATCAGTTCATCAACAGACCTTCCTCAGTGGTGTGGAAGGTCTTACAAAATAGTTATTTCAGGACCCTTGTCTGATCTTGGCCCTATAAACTATTCCTCTTACAACAGGAGGAACATAGATAAATTAAGGGAAGGCAGAGATATGTTTGCTCAAATGGCTTAATTACTAAGACATCTTAAGCAAGACCCTACACAAACAACAGACCAGAAATTTCCAGACTAGGAAAGCAAGATGATTAAGACTGGACCCCACCAACCATAAATTCTGTAAAACCAGTTTCAGTTAGGACTGGTCAGCCAGGCCAATGACCAAGGCATGCCCTTAAGTTGTTAGCTAATGTACTCTGTCAATCCAGAGACAAGAGATGATACTTGGATGGGACCTTTTAACAGTCTCCTTCCTACCCAATAAAAGCTGGGACACAAAGAAGTGAATTATTGCTCTTCTCTCTGAGAGGACCTACTCTCCTTTGATAGTGTCTCCACCATCCCCTTCTTATTTCTCTTCTAATAAACTTCGCTATACCTTCACTAAGTCCTGTGTCTTGCTTGAAATCCTCTCATTCAAAGACACAAGAATTCGGGGCTGGGATTTGGCTCAGTGGCAGGATGCTTGCCTCCCTTGTGTGAGGCACTGGGTTCAATCCTCAGCACCAAATAAAAATAAATAAAGTTAAAAAAAAAAAAAAAAAGACACAAGAACTAAGAACACGACTCCATCTCCAATAAGATCTTATCTCAGGTATGATCTTATCTCCATTATCAATATTAAGCTGCTTTTGCTCTTCTTTGAAGATTCATTTCAACATTTCTGATTTTTAGTAAATTCGTATGAAATTCCTATAACATGCTGCTGGCTCTCTCATTAGGAGATAAAAGATTTGCTATTTCATTTTACATTTGAGAGTCATGATCTTACTTTTCGAAAAATTAAGCCTCAGCACCACTAAAATTAATTTCACTATTACTATTTTACTTTTAATTACTATTGGCTTCGACTCACCAATTTGAAAAGCTCTGCTTTAGGGTGTATGCCTGCCGCAGTCTGGCTGGGCACAAAATAACCGAGCCGCCAGGAGGCACTTCTAGGTTCAAATCCTGTGAACGCCACCCACGCCGCCCTTCCAGCAACCACCAACCGGAAAATCCCACCTCCGGAACTTCCCCAACCAATGCGAACTCTCCAGGAATCAACCGAGAGAACTCCAAAGTAGCGGGTGCCCAAGGCAGACAGCAGGGGTCTAATATACAATTGAATACACAGCTTAACATAACCATCTCAATGGCTCGCTGGCATCACCTCTCAACCACTCCCTTCTGGCACAAATGCCATGCGTCATTCCCACTCGGCTGTGGCTCTCAGCATATGCCCAGAAGAAAAATTGCTGCAACAGGATCTGTGTGCATCTTTGATCTCCCTAGAAAATATTTCTTTTCCAAATTGTTTGTTCCAATCTATATCCCCATCAGCAGTGAATAGCATTCTTTTGCTTTGCATCCTTGACAGCATTTAATATTGTTAGAAGTTTCAATATTGTATTATCTGGTAGGTGTAAAGTGGTATTTCATGTTTATTTTCATTTTTATTCCCTGATTATTAGTGATATTAGGTAGTAAAAAGATGTTTATAGAGTGTTACAGACTGAATTGTTCCTGATTCACATGTTGAAGCCCTAGCCCCAATGTGATAGTATTCGGAGATGGGGCCTTTCAGAGGCAAACAAGTTTAAATAAGGCAAACAGGATTGCAACTTTGAGGCCAGCCTCTGGAGGTTAATAAGGCTCTAAGCAATTTAGTGAGAACTTATCTCAAAATAAAAAATAAAAAGGACTGGGGAGGTGGCTCAGAAGTAAAATGTCCTTGTGTTCAATCCCTAGCACTAAAAAGGAAAAGAAAAAAGAAAAGAAAAGGAAAAAAAAAAGAAAGAAATCTACTTCCCAGCCCCCCAGAGCTGTGAGAAATAAATTTCTGCTGTTTAAATCATGCAGTCTATGGTATTTTGTATTTTGCACAAATGTAGACCAATTGAGTATCTTTTTCTATAAAAGACTACTCATGAGTTTTACCCATTTTTTAAATGATTTCTTTTTTTTTTTTTTTTTTTTGGTACTAGGGATTGAATTCAGGGGACTCGACCACTGAGCCACATCTTTAGCCCTATTTTGTATTTTATTTAGAGAAAGGATCTCACTGAGTTGCTTAGCGCCTCGCTTTTGCTGAGGCTGGCTTAGAACTCTCAATCCTCCTGCCTCAGCTTTCTGAGCCACTGGGATTGCAGGAGCACACCACCGTACCCTGATAACTGTTTTTTTATTTGTTTTATTCAAATTTGTTATGTATGACATTATATATATGCATTACTACAATTCATATTACACATATAAATCACAATTTTTCATATCTCTGGTTGTATACTAAGAGGTTTTTTGGCTTTTTTTATGTATGTGTGGGGGGGGTTCTGGGGTTGGAACCCAGGGCCTTGTACATGCAAGGGAAGTACTTTACCAACTGAGCTATATCCCTAGCCTTAACTGATTTTTAAAATTGATTCATATGAGGATTTTTTTTGGGGGGGGAGTCGGGTACTAGTGATTGAACTGAGGGACACTTTACTACCAAGCCACATCCCTTGTCCTTTTTATTTTTTATTTTGTGACAGGGTCTCAGCAAAATATTGCTGAGAGTTTTGCTAATTGCTGAGGCTGTCCTCAAACTTGCCATCTTCCTGCCTTAACCTCCCAGATCACTGGGATTACAGATGAGTACTGTAATGCACCACAAGGATTTTTTTTTTTATCATACATATTGTCAATATTTTCTTCCCCATGTGGTTTGTCTACACCTTTTATTTATTGCCTCTTTTGATGAACAAGAGTTCACAGTTTTACAATTTATTAAACCATTTATTCATGTTTCTCCTATTCATTTATTTTTGCAGTGCTGGGGATTGAGCCCTGGACATCCACATGCTAGGCAAGTGCTCTACCACTGAGCTGCTTCACCACAGCCCTATTTTGCACTATTGATGTGTGTTTAAGAAACTCTCAGCAACTTAGCAAGTCCCTAAGCAACTTAGTGAGACCCTGTCTTAAAGTAAAAAATAAAATGGTCTGAGAATGTGGCTCAATGGTAAAGCACCTCTGGGTTCAATCCCCAGTACAAAAAAAAAAAAAAGGAAGGAAGGAAAAGAAACTCTTTCTTCACCATATCTTGTATTTTCTCTTAAAAGTGTTAAAATATCTCTATCCATATTTAATTCTTTTTTTATTTTTATGTTTTAGTTGTAGGTGGACACAATATCTTTATATCATTTATTATGTGCTGCTGAGGTTTGAACCCAGTGTACTAGGTGAGCACTCTACTACTGAGCCGCAACTAGCCCCACACATTTAA